AAGATGGCGGAAGCTGAGCGCTCGTTCTCTTCACTACGATGGTTGAAAACATAACTGAGAGTGTCCACTGCGGTTGAGCGACTGCTCGGTCTTGTGCTTTTGAATGTTCACCGCGACATTGAAGTTCAAGTGGTGAATATCCTGGATATTCTTTGCCGTGAACGCAGTCGGCTGCATCTTAATATGTGGGCGCTTGACGTAAATGAAATGATCAAGAAAGCCTGTAAATTGCTTTTTGAAATAACTAGTCACAGTTACTTTTTTTATTCGCGGTAATTTCTAGTCGAAAGCACGTAATTCTGATCAGTACACAAGGTGTGCGTGAGCGAAGCGTCAACCGTTGCTTACAGCGCAATTATTTTTACAATTCATTTAATATTCCTTACATTACTGACATTATTTTATATTATCACGATGTGTGCGTTTTATTATGTCCACCATAGCTTGATTTAACTATGTAATTCTGTGAGGATAGTGTCTTATACTTTGCCTTGAAATTGCCATCCTTCACCCCACAATTGTTTCGAAATATCCGTTCTCTATATATCTGAGGTCAGGTTCCGCATCCCATCAAATAAGCATGAATGAAGAAATATTTACTATTTTATTTATTTGAGCATTTTCTACACCACAAACATTCCTCCCGAAAGCATATAAGTTGGAGATAGTCCGCGCTCCCCCTTTGCTCCGTGCACCGTGCAAGACCGACTGCGTGAGCATGCAGGGTAGCGAGCGGGCCCAATGCACCGGGGGGCGAGGGGGGGGGGGGGGGGAGGGGGGGGGTAACTTCGGCATTTCGGGGGAAGTTTCGACCCCCCCCCCCCTCCCCCTGCCTACACCACTGCTTGCAAGTGGCTTGCAGTGGCTTATTTTCCGTGTACTTAGAGCGCTTCCGTAAAAACATGCTTAACGGGCTGCACTCTTCCTTGCCTGCCCCTTTCATTAAAGGAAATACCAACGTCTTCGGTGTCCAAACCAGTGCCGATAAGTGCGGTCATTTATTAAACAAAACTATCTCGTAAAATACGCTTAGAAATCCAGAATTTGAGCCGGTGGCTTATTGATATTAGGACGATCGTGGGAGATTCCTGTGACCTTCTTCGCTGCGCCAGTCTATAATCCCTTGGATATTGTTGGTCCCCTCAACATAATGTCCTACTGAACGGTTCGTGGCCTCTGGATCGGGATATGAGCCATATATATATAACTCAAATGGCCTTTGGCTTAAAGCCATTTGTGTGTCGAAGTCATAAACAAGTTTAGTGCTGGCCTTGAATATTACTTGGCCTTGGGTCGCCAACACAATTGACGCGCCACTCTCTGATCCTAAAATCAGCAACGTTTCGAAATTACTTCTTTTTTTTTTTTTTTTTTTTGTACTTTCGACTTTCGCGTAATCTCCGGACGCGTCGGATGCCATGCGAATAAATAACAAGAACAAAAAATCCGGAAGGACCACATATTTATTTTGCTGACTTCGTTAGTTTTCTCGGTCGCTTTTTCCGCACATTGACAGATGCTGACAGACGCTTGTATTGGACCTTGGCTCGAGCATGATGGAACGCTAGAACGCCACTTTCATGCCCGCGTCTCGCAAGCCTTGCAGAGGTTTTTAGACAAGGGCGGAATTGCAGACAGACGAAGGCGAAAACTGACGCCGACATAAAGCTTTCATGTCCGCGTCCGGGCATTGCAGAGGACGATAGACGGGGGTGTGGAATAGCCATAGAGGGTAGAGGGCCTTAGAGTGATAAACTAGTATACCGTTCATCAGGCAAAAGTGACCCCCGATTGGCCGCCGCCATGTTGTACAATTTTGACCACTAGACACGTGACCAGGCCAAATCTATGACGTAACCAGACCAAATCTCTGGCGTCAACGAAAAGATGGCAGCGCCCAGTGCGTGTCGAAAGCGTTGTGGCCGTTGATCAAAGTGTGTGGATTTCGTGAGCGGAATTCGGTTCTTGAGGGTTTTGTGTGCTCTCCCGCGTAGGAATAACGTGAAGTACGAGGGAATGAGGCTTTTCTTTTTTATTTAATTCAGAGTAAGCCAGATTCGGTCCCGTGCTTCTCGCACGGGCTCGGATCACTACCTCGGACATCGTTCGGTCGTTCGAGTTTAATTAAAATATCCGCAATCGTTAACCACGGGAGCTCCTCCATAATTGCTGAGTCGAAGGATACGTCCAACCCATCCGGAACGCGGAGTCTAAAGGTATGTAGGACGTAACCAGAACGTAGCTCGACCGTCAAGATTCGCATTTGAAGCAGCGAGAGAAGTGTTGAAATCTCCGAACTGCTCGGTGCTGAGCTAACTACGGACCACTTCACTATGTGATCCGTAGTGACGTGAAAAAGACCGACGGCGGTCACTCCGGGCGGACGGCGGCTCCCGGCCGCCTGCCGGGTGCCTTCTGTGAAGGGGCGACAGTCGTGTAAGCAGTACTAGAGTCCGCAGTACTGTACCAGGTTCTCTTATAGTTATGTTGTTCTCGAGCAGCTTCCCGATCACTAAACCCCGCAAACGCGTGCCGAAATTTCAAAAGGTGTCTGCCAACCTGGAAAGCCTTGAACTCCTAGGGAATTTCAGATCATCTGGGAAAGTCAGGGAATCATTCAAAAAGTGGGCTAAATAAGGGAAGACGACTAGTGAAAGCGGCATGGCGGTTGCTCGTCGGCACGGCCATGCTGAATGACGTTGCCGAAATGTCATCCTTCCACTCAAAAACTCAAGGAATTTGATCAAAATAGTCAGGGAAAAACTTGAAAAAGTCGGGGAATTTGAAATCAGTAGTTTGTTAGACACAATGTTTGATTTTCTTGGCACTCCACGCGTTTTTACACACGACAGGCACACGCCCGTGTATCACTCGGCAGCCAGGCCAAGCGGCTGCCAGCCACTTATGCAAGGTCGATAAGACGCAAGCGTGGAACGCTTTCGGACTGCTGTAAATACACCAGCGGGAGCGTCCGGCCGCAGTCCGACTGCCCACGCTAGGACACCCGACACAGACTCCGCGTCCTGGGTACGTCTGACGTATCTTTAGATTTTGCATCCTAGGTACGTCAGACCTATCTTTAGACAAAGCGCCTGATAATAGTAGTGAATAGGGTCACGTTCAGTGCGCAAGTCACTTTATTACACTCAGAGAGCGGAATTCCATTCCCGTTGCGCAGGTAGTTCCCGAGCTAGGCATGCACTTGAAGACTATGTTTCACTCTTTCATAAAGCAAGCTTTGCGGGACCCCTCCGCCCTTGTGCACCCATTCGCAGGTCGTGTCGCCTTTCCTCACGTAACTCCCGCAGGTTCAGTGAGTTGCCGAGCCACTGCAGCCCTGGCGTCGCTCGGTACATACAAGAGGCGGCTCACGTCGGTCGTCCAGCAGCGTACTGGAGGGACGCAAAGCTAGCAGCCTCCTTGGTGCACGCAAGACGAGGCTGAGCAGAGCTCCAAGCTCTTCTGATGCACATGTGCACTCCAATGAGACCGGTGTCGCACCCCGATTCCTAGAGATGTGGTCGCACTGGCAGTCTTGTTGGTCCCTGGGGGCCGTCGAGGAGTGCCAGAAAGCAAAATTCCATCCTTCTTAAGCAGGTAGTTCCCCAGCTAGTCACTTCCTTGACGACGTCGCACCCTCTCTGGAAGCAAGCTTCGGGATGCTCTTGTGCACCCATTTGCAGGTCGTGTCGCCTTTGCTCACGTAACTCCCGCAGGTCCAGCGAGTTGCCGAGCCCCTGTAGCCCCGGCGTCGCTGGTCGTGCATCCTGATCCTGGTCGTGCATCAACCACCGCTGCCCATTTCCGCTGAGTGCTTGGGTGTGGTAGCTTGACGTGCTTTCGCAGAAAGCTGTATGCCTTTGCCGAGTAAAAATGGAGCGTGAGGGCAAACTTGCGCACATCCTCTGTACATGCGTTTTTGTTGCGCCTGACTCTTTTTAAGACGAGGTTGCGCATTGTGTTGGTGAATGCATTGTCAAGTATGTCAACTGCTGGCTTAGGAAGTCGTTTCCTCAGTTCACGGAGCAGCGTGTTCAGCTTCCTAATCCTGGCCGTCTTCCGATTGATCTTCTTCTTTTCCTGTTTCAACAGTTTCCTCGCCTTCTGCAGCTTTTGCCTACTCGTGGCCAGGACCCTGTGCAGTCGTGGTGACACAGCTGCGTACGAGTGGTCACCGAAGGAAGTGTTGCGTCGCTTGAACACAGCTTCAGGGGGAGTCTCTGACGTCGTAGCCTGAGAGGGGGAAGTAACCAGTTCCAGTTTTCAGGTACTTCGGGCGACTAGTTGCACAACTTGCAAAGGTGTGTCTCTTGTATCTGAAGGTGGTGGTCAACGAATCACTAGAAAAGTGGCATCTTTGGGATCAAGTTGATAGGTTCGAGTGAAACATTCAGTTTCTTTGCAACAATTTCAACCACCACCATTATAATAATTCCATGGCATGCTGTATGCTTTTTACAATCATTCAATCATAAGTGGGTTACGTGTTTTCAGTATATACTGATATACATAAAAATATGACCTCCAAACGATTTTTCTTGAAATCTGCAAAAACCGAAAGAACCCGAATTGAGCTTGCTTTGAAGAGAAATTGCACTTTCCACGGCAGGGAACCTTGATAAACGTCTGTACTTTTGTTGAACCACAACACCGACCGCACTGAACTGTCTGCGAGGCTGCTCTTTTTCTTTGGAAATTGTTTTTATGTGCTCCATTTAGCAATGAGTAGTGCATATCATGTTGTGTCTCCTAGAAACGCCACAGATATGCATTTGCTTTTACCACATAAGTACCGTGACACTCCGAGTTTTAGTCGATATCAAAAAAAGACACTGATAAGCTCAAAATTCGAGAGAACAAATAAGCACCAAAAAATCACCCCCATTTTTAAAAAAATAAAGCTACGAGAGCACCTCAGCTTTCTTTCATGATGTGAGAATGCGTGAGCATTACCTTTGGCCGAGTTATATTGACGTCAATGAGCAAGGTTGAACCATTCAGCGCCCGGCAGTCGAAGAGTGCGGACGCGCGATGGCTCGCTCTGATAGCGAGGTGATAACGGCCGACGCCGGCCGCGGTGACAGGCATTTTTGCATCCCTGCCGACTACCGGATCGTGCTGCCGACGTTGCCGGTTGGAGACAAAGGAAAAAATCAAGTCTACCTTCACTGCGATGTGAACGCCAGGCCTATAAGGATCGTCGACTTCAAGGAGCCCTTGGAAAAAGCAGACCTTCGAAAGGATGTAGCAGGGCTAGGTGTGTGCCAAATGGGACACGTGTGGCTCTGTAGCCTAAAAAGTGCGGCAGCGAAAGAACGACTGCTACAGCTTGGCCGGCTCACGGTGAAGGGAAAGCTGTGCATCCCCGTAGACCCCAACCGGCAGGAAGTTCGGGCCAAGTTACATTGGGTCCCGTTCGACGTATCCAACGACACTCTCCGGAAGGCACTGGAAGAGTACGGCACAGTTCACGAGGTGACCAAAGAGAAGTGGCGAGTGGAAGGCTTTGAAGACATCGAGTCGACCACCAGGATCGCTAAACTGACACTCAAGGAAGGCAAGACGCCGGAGAACCTACCTCATCAGCTAAGGCTTCAGGGGGGCACGATCCTCGTTGTCGTACCCGGGCGGGCGCCGTTATGCCTGCGGTGCCGAAGGCAAGGACATATACGACGCGATTGCCGTGTACCTCGGTGCGGGCATTGCCGTGGCTTCGGACATGTCGCCCAAGACTGTGCACGCACGTACGCGAGTGCTGTAGTCAGCCGAGCGAGCGACGAGGGATGCGACCTCATCATGGATGAAGCGGAAGCAGAGGAGGCCGCAACATCGTCGACGCCATTTGAAAGGGCACAGCAAGACAAGGCGACAGTCGAAGGTCAAGACAACAAGAGAGCGGAGGCGAAAGTCAGAGACGAAAAGCGCACGGTGACGGCTCCTGAAGCCAACGAAAACGAGGGGCAGGCGACAACGCCTGGAAAACCTTCACCGGATGAACTGGCTGTGATGGCGATGGGGAGCACCGGCACCGAGTCGGCAGCCATCGAGTGTGAGCCAGCCATGGAACTGGATCCCTCAAAGGTGAAACGGCGACTGGCCGACGAGTCTCCGAAAAACGGCGCACCGGTACAGCAGTGGTCTGAGGGGGAGTTTCAGCTGATAGGTAAAAAAGGTCGCTACGTCAGCAAACTGCGGTCCTCGTCGCTGACCCGCGACGGGGGTCTGTCGCAGTGAGTAGTGACCCTGGTATAATATGACGCAAAGGGTAACCGCCGGAAGCTGGGTCTGACACTATAAAAAACGGCACAACTAGCGTCTGGTCTGCGCATAGGGACCCTTAACGTTAGGGGACTTGCGGCACGCCGCCGACAGTGCCAGCTGAGTCGCCTTCTCTTAGAGAATGACCTAGACGTTTTGGCGGTTCAGGAGACGAAGGTTGAAAGTGAGAGTCAGACCGAGTTCCTGGTAAAACCGTTTACGTCGAGGTATAATGTCTGCGTCAGCCATGCTGTAGGTAGATCTGGAGGATGTTGTCTGTTCTTGAGGAGAGCTGCTGGGCTCATCGAAGAGAACGTTGTATCGTGTGAATCGGGAAGGCTTGTTCTCTGCGATTTTGTTTTCCTAAATCAAAAGTGGAGGGTTATGTGCATTTATGCGCCAAACGTGGAGAGTGAGCGACGCGCCTTTTTTGAATATATCGACAGATTTGTAATTAGTGACCGATTTACGATACTGCTGGGAGACTTTAATTGTGTTTGTATGCCAGAAGACTGGACAAATCAAAGACGAAATAGTGATAGGTCTAGCGAAGTTTTAAATCAGTTGATTCAAGATAAAGGGCTCGAAGACCTGGCACCCTGCATAACACCGGGACATCGGGTCCTTTACACGCATCACCAAGGCAGAGGTCATGCCAGGCTTGACAGGGTATATGTTTCAGCGGATTTAGTACCCCAATGTAAGGATTTCGCGGTCAGTCATGTCTCGTTTAGCGATCACAGTTTGGTGAGTTTTACCCTGGGTCAGCGTAAAAAACAAACTAGCTTTTCGTGGGAGTTGTGGAAGTTAAACGCAAAGCTCCTCGAGGACCAAGAATTGATAGGGAAAATCGAAACTAAGCTAGGCAGACTAGAAGACATTTCGGAAAATAGCATATGCGAGGAATGGGAGCTATTTAAACAGCAAGTGAAGATTGACGCGATTGAACGGGCAACTAACATTAAGCGGGAAGAGCGAAGGGTAGAAAACGGTCTTCGACAGGATTTACAAAGGCTTTATGTAGAGGAAGAGAGAACGCCAGGAGCCTTCAAAGACGACATAAGCACTATCAAGGCTAAACTTGAAAAAATAGATGAAGACAGATATAAAGGGGCAATCGTTCGTGCCCGTGCGATAAACTTGATTGCCGGGGAAACGCCCACAAAAAGGGCACTTGCGTTGGAAAAAAAGTATGCTAGCGGGAACCGGATTGAAGAAATAGAGTACAGAGGCGCAGTAACTCGAGATCAGGACAGTATTCAGCATGCTTTTGTGGAGTTTTATACACATTTGTTTGAAAAGAAAATACCAAAAGAAAAGGGGTTTGATACGGAATTTTTGCCAAGTCAGCCGAAGCTAGATAGCGATACTACGACGTTTTTAGAAGATCCGATTAGTTTATCAGAAGTCGAAAAAGCGATAGATGACCTAAGCGTAGGCAAGTCACCGGGACCGGATGGTTTGAGCACGGCCTTCTATAAGAAGTTTAAAGAGCGAATTGCACCGGTTCTACATAGGGTTTTTTCTCAGTCCTATCAGAAAAAAGAATTACCACTTTCTTTCTTGTGCACGCACACGGTCTTGATACCTAAGTGTAATGACGCCGATAAGCTCCGTAGTACTAGTAATTACAGACCAATTACCCTGGCCAACGTTGACTATAAAGTGCTGATGAAGGTTTTAGCCAGTAGATTGCAGCATGTTATATGGAAAATCGTAGGGCCGCACCAAACCTGTGGGATAAAGGGTCGTAGCATTGGCACAAACATACACATTACTCGAAGTGTTCTAGAGGTCTGTGACGCGGAATATCGGAAAGCAGCTATACTTCAGATAGATCTTGAAAAAGCATTTGATCGGGTGTGCCATGATGTTCTGTTTACCATTTTACAACATGTGGGAGTTGGATCTGTGCTGCTGGAGGGGGTAAGGATGGCATATGTAAACTGCAAAACTAAACTAGTAATTAATAAAACAGTTAGTGCGGGGATTAACGTCCGCTCTTCAGTACGGCAGGGATGTCCCTTATCACCCTTGCTTTTCGCAATCTACCTAGAGCCCTTTTGCCGCTGTGTCATTCAATCTCAAGACATTAGGGGTTTTACACTACAGGAATGTGACATTAAAATATTGGCATACGCAGACGATGTTGCCATTTTTTGTTCGGACCCTCAAAGTGTGTTAGAAGCTGTTGAATTGATCAAAAGGTTTTGTGAGGTCACTGCCTGCGCGGTGAATTGGTCAAAGTGCGTAGGGTTATGGCATGGTGAGTGGACGACTGCTCCAGTTGTTTTTGGAAATGTTCACTGGTCACGGACGCCATCAAAGTACCTAGGTGTTCCTCTGGAACATTACCGTGAGCCCACAGATTACTGGCGAGAAGAAATAGCTAAACTTAAGGCCACTGCCGAGAGGTGGGTACGGAGGGACTTGTCCATTTTCGCGAGAGCGACTGTGTGCAATGTGTTTCTTCTGTCCAAACTGTGGTATGTCCTCCAAGTGCTGCAGTGTTCGAGAATCAACATTCAGCGGATTCACCGTGTATTTGCAGTGTTTATTTGGGCATCCCAATGGGAGCGAAGTCGCCGTACCAATCTTTTTTTTAAGCCCAAAGCGGGGGGTGTCGGACTGTGCCACGTATTTGTCCGACAACTCGTCTCACGCTTTATGTTTATCCGTGACCAGCGTGATCCTTTTCTTCGAACCGTTATTCAGACAAGACTGTTTGACGTTTTACCGGGATTTGTTGTTTCGTCCTGCCGGGTACGTTGCGGACCTCTGTCGGGTTTTTTGCGCGAAGTTGTATCTGCCTGCCGCTTTCTGTTCGTTCGTTTTTCTATGAACTATTTGTCTAGTGTATCACGCAAACATTTAACGCGTGACCTAGTGGCTACGTTGTTGCCCATGCCAACGTATAGGGCCATAGGCCCTGGAGCCCCAGGAGGTGATGTGTTACAGCGAGTCAAGAACGCCATGGTACCAGCGGCGGTTAAAACTTTCTTTTTTAAATTACACAGCGAAACGTTGCCAGTAAAGACTTTTTTGGAAGCTAAGGGCATGAACCTCTACTGGTCGGTAAATTGTATTTTGTGCAAACAACCGGAGAGCATCGAGCATGTCTTTTTGGGATGCTGGGATGCTCTTCTTTTTTGGGACGTGCTTCAGCGCACCATAAAGAAAGAGCTCCCCCTGTCACCTCAAGGAATCCGGTTCCTAGCAATAGAACGTGAACCTGTGCCCTACGACATAATCATGCTCCTAGGGCTCCACGGCATATGGAAGAGCAGAATGGCGGTGCGGCATGCTGATGTTGACGCACGCAACCCCCGAGAGTACTTCATTGAAACTATCAAATGGTTAAGAGAATGTTATAAAAAGATAAATACTGATGTGGAATGGTTACCAGTTCTGGACGATTTGGCCGTGCTTAAAACCTTTTAAATTAATCATCGCAACGACCTTCAGCCAAGCCTGGCTGATAGGCTTTTAACCCCTCCATGTTAAGCAATTTCTGCTGTTTCGGGGCACGTTATTTTTATCAATATGTGTATCATATGTAACCTGGCAATAAATAAAAAAAAAAAAAAAAAAAAAAAAAAAAAAAAAAAAAGCAAGGTTGAACCAATGAATAGCACACTAGTTTTGCGATCATGAGAGCCTAGGTTCGAAACCGGGCAGGGGATAATTTATTTCTAGGTTTATTTTTTGTTTGATCACGTGATTAATAATTAAGTCACATGACGAAAATGATAACGTGAGCACAGCTGTTTGTTTTTCTCTTATTTTCTTTTTCTTTAGATTGCGTCGCATTGGTCACGGCATTTGGACACAACTTTTGGTTACAGCTTTTGGCTGCACTCTTTGATCACGGCTCTTCTTTTGCTCACTGAGCCAGGTAATACTCACAAATCAAAAAACACCCAAAACATGGAACCCTATTCATAAGCCAGAACTCCCAGCACCCCCTTTTTGTGGGTCAGTGCCAGTTCTGGCCAACGCATAAAAGGTGTGGTCACATATCACACTGCACAGAATAACCTGCCAAGAATGCATGCCCTGGCACACAGTCTTCTGGAATACACGCAGTCTTGAATGTCACCGCTCGTTGTTCTGCTGACAGGTCTCACCCTCCAGAGAGGCAGCCTGGATCGACGACTGATCAGCCAACCCCAGGAGAGGCCCAAGCTGCTGCTGGTTCTGGAAGCAATGTAAAGCTGGTTACTTCCCCCTCTCAGGCTACGACGTCAGAGACTCCCCCGAAGCTGTGCTCATGCGACGCAATACTTCCTTCGGTGACCACTCGTACGCAGCTGTGTCACCACAACTGCACAGGGTCCTGGCCACGAGTAGGCAAAAGCTGCAGAAGGTGGGAAACTGTTGAAACAGGCAAAGAAGAAGATCAATCGGAAGACGGCCAGGATTAGGAAGCTGAACACGCTGCTCCGTGAACTGAGGACACGACTTCCCAAACCAGCAGTTGACATACTTGACAATGCATTCACCAACACAATGCGTAACCTCGTCTTAAAAAGAGTCAGGCGCAACAAAAACGCATGTACAGAGGATGTGCGCAAGTTTGCCCTCACGCTCCATTTTTACTCGGCAAAGGCATACAGCTTTCTGCGAAAGCACGTCAAGCTACCACACCCAAGCACTCGGCGGAAATGGGCAGCGGTGGTTGGTGCACGACCAGGACCAGGATGCACGACCAGCGACGCCGGGGCTACAGGGGCTCGGCAACTCGCTGGACCTGCGGGAGTTACGTGAGCAAAGGCGACACGACCTGCAAATGGGTGCACAAGAGCATCCCGAAGCTTGCTTCCAGAGAGGGTGCGACGTCGTCAAGGAAGTGACTAGCTGGGGAACTACCTGCGCAAGAAGGATGGAATTTTGCTTTCTGGCACTCCTCGACGGCCCCCAGGGACCGACAAGACTGCCAGTGCGACCACATCTCTAGGAATCGGGGTGCGACACCGGTCTCATTGGAGTGCACATGTGCGTCAGAAGAGCTTGGAGCTCTGCTCAGCCTCGTCTTGCGTGCACCAAGGAGGCTGCTAGCTTTGCGTCCCTCCAGTACGCTGCTGGACGACCGACGTGAGCCGCCTCTTGTATGTACCGAGCGACGCCAGGGCT